ACAGCTCTACGTGAATGAAAACATCCTGCAAAGTTTTAAATCTGAAAGTGCACTGTGTATAAAGTTACTGCCTCTCAAAAGAAAGAGTCGACTCTGAATCATTGAAACGAGTCGTTTTTAAAACGAATCCCAAGCCGTTTCATGTTGACCGAGGTCAACATGAAACATTATCATATTGCCCGCCCACTTGTTGGTCTTTTCCTGTTGATCTGAATGAAAATGCAAATTCATTCTTTGCCACTAGGTGTGCTTTCCGAGCGATAAAAATAGCGCTTTCCCCAGTAACGCTGTACACAAAGCAGCACTGCGCTCACAAACTCTTTTATGAGGCATTACAGGCATGATCCAATCAGACCAATCACTGCAGATTAGCGTCACGCAAAGGAGGGGTTTGGAAAAATGAATCGTTGAGCAAATCTTTTGGGAGTCGTTGAGCAAGTACGGTAAAAATAAATGCATAATATAAGACAATGAAAGAGTTTTTTGACCTTGCATGCATGTCAGCCTGTTGTTGGGGACTCCCAAAACCAAAATATGAACCTTTCATAACCCATAATAGGGGCACTTTAAAGGTAAAAGACAGAGAATATTTAAAATAGACATTTTATATTTTAGAGGATTTATATAACATCCTTTTATACATTTTAAAGTAATTCAGAATATTCCTCAAGCTTGTGCAATGCTTTGCTCTAGCTTTTCCTGAGTAATCATTCAGAAATGTATTTTCTGCATATTTCAGGTGGATTGAACCCTTCTGTTGACATGCAGGATGATTTCTCAGAGTTTTCCAAGTTCTTCAGAGGCTTTCGAGGCTGAAGGAGCTGTGGACACAAACCTAAGGATGGTCTCTTTTCATCCTTTCCCAGCAAACCCACCAACTGATTTTACATTGTTCAGTGTGAATGTGGAGATCCATTCTTGATTATTGGAGTGAAGAACAATTATTTGCTGCCACAAATTGGCCCTAGTAATTTTGCCTACCATTTTTCTTTCAATAAACTTTTATTGAGAATAGTTTAAGAATTGTATTAACATTGAACCTTGGGTTTCCCATTGAACCAGTTGTTGAAGCTGCAATGTTCTGAAAAGGACTGACCGAATTTTAGTTTGCTGGTAGAGAAGAGCAGATACTGCAGATGATAAGACAGTTTAATATATTTGTAAATTGTATTTTCAGTGGTGTTTCACTGAACATAACATAAAGAATGTTAAACATAAAGAGAATGTATAAACATAAAGAAAAGAATAAGATCTTGTTTTTCTAATTTTGTTTTCATTTGTTGTGCTTTGAGAACAGGTCAGTTTAAAAAGTGATGAACACACTTCAGCTCTAAATCTCTACGATGTGTCAAAATCCTAAAAATGCAATGCTTTTCTTGTAAAATGAACTGAACAAAGCCAAGCATAACTAGTCGGCCTGGATTTAACCTATTCAAAGAGATGCAAGGATATTGAGTTGTGATGAAATAAAGCTTTTTCAATTATTGTTGAAATTATGTTGAGGTGGCCATGAAAAGGACACTGAAAATTTTTCCTCATGAAGATCCTGGGGTGTTTATCCTCATGGTAAGTCCAAAACTTAATTTATATTTTAATTTGTGTTTTACGCTCCACTTTCTTTGGTCCGTATCAAACGGCACTATTTATTTTTTTGAATCTCAAAGTTAATCGGCTCTTCAGTTTCCAGAATGTGATCTCACGGGGTATGTTTAGCAACAAAAAGTTTCATTTTGAATCTGTCAGTGTTGTCTCACAACAGGCTGACCCAGTTCTGCCACATCTAGAGACTTACCTGTCACAGGTTTTCCTGTCTGCTCTTGTTGACTGACAATATGAAGCATTTAGTGCAATGCTGACAATGTAAGCTAACAAGTTTAGTAAACAGTATTACATTTTTAAGTTATTTAAAGTGAATTAACAGTGAAAACAGAAAATTATAATTTTGCATTCACCAATTTTGTATTTCCCCATAAAAAATGAACACATACAGGAACATAAAGGTCAATGATAAAGGCACCAAACCTGGCACACTGCTGGTCATAGTGCATATCATGCCATAACTGGTGAGAGTTGGTTAGCTTTGCACACAATTTGATCTTTATCTAGTGACATCCTATGAGACATCAGTGACATCGACTTTATGGAGATTGACTTTATACTCCGTTATATAAATGATTATCTCCTAAGTAGATAGAAGTACAGATATAAGATAACCTCAAAAGCTGATTTCACTTGTATGGGCCATTTTGATCCCAACATGAATAACCAATGGTGTAGACATGTTTCTTTAGGCTGTAATTATAATTTTAGTCCATTGGTGAGACTTGTATAGGCTAACTATGATGAGAATATTGAGAACGGCTGCATGGACACTACCTCTTCTGGAAGCAATCATGGACCTCAGGGTCAAACATTTACACATATGTCGACTAGTGTAGCTTTGCTTAATTACCCAGAAAACTAGTTCATTAGGAAAAACTCTTGAGAAAATGGGGCCTGAGCCAGTAGATATGCATGAGAGCTATACATTGATGTATGTGCTTGTGACTGTTAGTTATGAGACAACATAAACATGGTTTTCTTTCTTAACTAGATATTGGTTAATGGATAAATGATTCAGCTAAAAATAAGGCGGCATCTGTATCTTTTATTTTACTCTGGTGATACACACACACACACTTAAAAAATAAGGTATTTTGTATGCATTAGGTCATTAAGCTTTTGTTTTAAAAAGAATAGTAGAAGATTTATGCATAAATCTGGTATATGCCAGCTGTGCTTCACAGGTAAAAGTTAACAATAAACTACTCATCGTTTTATTACACAAAAGGGCAATGTACTACATGTAATTGTCATTCCTTGCCCAGACACACTCTTTAACCACAATAGATAGTCTTGAGTTTACTTATGCTGTGTAATAATAAGCTAAACATTTTTTTTTTTTTTTTGGAAGACCATGCATTCTGACTGGGTCTTTTCATTACAGACCTTCTGTATGGAGCTCTGAGAAACATCTGGAGTACTGAAGTCCTGGCCTGCATTTACTTTCATTGCAAACGAACAGAAAGACACAGAAAGTAGGCTACAGAGGGCAGAAATGGTGGATCGTCTGCTGAGGAGATGCCGAATCAAGAGCAGCTTGTTCAGAGAATGTCTGGCGGAATTTTTCGGGGTCTATATTTTGATAGTAAGTCAGCCTTCATCTGTATTTGTAATATGGAAATATGTGCAGTTCACATAGCAAAATGTTGGTAATTTTCACCAATTTTAAGAAATTGCTAGGATATTTTTTTTATGTAGGCCTATATATAGCTTACAAGTTTGCATTCAAATTGTAAAGCACTTATAAAAACGTATAACAATTTTTTTATCTTTAGTATTATCTTTATTGAGTCAAATATAACGCCTTCTGCCCATTAAATCTTTTTTGTAGCAAATGTGCAAAGAATGTCAGCAATATTCTGGAGATCAAACTTGACTTAGAACTACTTAATACAATTTTTGGCACTGAATAGAAACTTCAGTTACCAAAATGCACAGCAGTCTTATCGTGCCATAAGCCTTTTCATTATAAACGTTGTGTCTGTGTAAAACATTCACACTTGATAATTCCTTACATTTTTCTTGATGCCACTTTCTCTTCAGCTTTTTGGGTGCGGGTCAGTTGCCCAGGTGACGACCTCTCAAAACACTAAGGGTGAATACCTGTCAATCAACCTCGGGTTTGCATTGGGTACCACATTTGGGATTTATGTGGCAAAAGGGGTATCAGGTATAAAATCTCTAAAGCAGCTGTGTATATTAAGACATAAGTCCCTGTATATACAATATAAATGAATACATTTCTCGTCTGTTTAAGGAGCTCACCTGAATCCAGCTGTTTCCCTCACCCTGTGTGTCCTGGGCAGGTTTTCCTGGACTTGTCTTCCATTCTATGTGTGCTCACAGCTCTTAGGTGCATTTTTGGCTGCAGCAACTGTTGCTCTTCAGTACTATGGTGAGTGAATCTCATTCTACCTGATCTATCTTATCTACACTACAAGTCACCATTATTTATATAGCGCTTTTTACAATGCAGATTGTGTTAAAGCAGCTTTACAGTATTAAACAGGGAAATAGTGTGTCGAAATAGTCTGGAATAGTTACAAAGGCTATATTTATCTGAACAAAAATACAGTAAAAACGGTAATATTGTGAAATATTATTACAATAACAGTTTTCTATTTGAATATATTTTAAAATGTAATTTGTTCCTGTGATGAAAATGTAAATTATTCCTCCAGTGTTCAGTCGTTATTTCTTCGAATACTTCAGAAATTATTCTAATATGCTGATTTGCTGCTCAAAAAACTTTTTTATTATTATTAATGTTGAAAACATATTCGATAATCACATTCAAAAACAATTAGGCTACAACTCAGCATAATAGAATGTCACACTGAAGACTAGACTGAAAAATTGGTATATAATGCTTACTAAAAAGTATTATTTAAATTTTTTTTTACAACAATATTAACTTAAATACATGAATTTATATAAACAAAACTAGTTTTCATAACCAGTTAGAAATAGCTCTTTGAGGTATTGCATGGTTACCACATTTCACAGCTGCTTAATGGCTGCTGAATATGAATTTGTACAATATATTACACTTTACATGGTTATGAATTAATATAATTAGTCATAACCAGTAATAGTTGGTTATGGTGATCTTCAGTGTTGGGGAAAGTTACTTTTAAAAGTAATGCATTACAATATTGCGTTACTCCATAAAAAAGTAACTAATTACGTTACTTAGTTACTTTTTATGGAAAGTAATGCCTTACGTTGCTTATTTGAAAAAGTAACTCAGATATTCTCTTGTAAATTAAAAAGTAATGCGTTACTAGTTACTTGAAAAAAGTAATCTGATTACGTATCTTGCGTTACTTGTAATGCGTTACCCCCAACACTGATCTTATGGCGATCCAAACTTTTGACTGGTAATGTAGGCCTATATGTAAAAATACACAAGTGCATGCAAATGAAGAAACTTTCCTGCTCATACGTGTTTGTTCACAGATGCCATAATGGATTTCACTGGAGGGCATCTGACAGTTAGTGGTGCCACTGCCACTGCTGGTATCTTCTCAACTTATCCAGCAGACTACCTGAGTCTATGGGGAGGAGTGGTGGACCAGGTCAGCATAATATATGAAACATGGAAATCTACTGCTTGAAATGCTAAGACTATTCTCAAGACGCAATACTTTCATAAGATCACCATTACCAAATAATCAAAGCTAATTATGTTCATTCATAACAGAATGACCTATTCTGATGCTTTTATGCAAAAGTAGCTTACATTTTATATACATTACTATCAGTTATTGTCAACCACTGAAAATTGTTCCAAAAGAAGCCACAACAGAATGCATGTATTTTTTTTTTAATAAATGCGTTGAACTTTTTGTGCCACCTACTGGTCACATATTTAGTTTGTAAAGCGTATTTTTAGTCTGTGTCTGTAACTGGATTAGCTCAGTTCACACTCTGTCTAAGTCATGTAATTCTTGTTTCATAAAATATCTTTAAAAAAAAAAACGTTTAGATGGTAGTGCATGTTATATGCAAACTAAACTAGTATTTATAATCCACATTCACTGTAATTTTTGTAAAAAAAAATTTTTGGGGGTGAAATTGTAAATAAAACTTTATTGGAGTATGTTTTACATGAAAATGCTACTTAAGTGTTTCTACTTCACAATTAATTACACATTTCATTCAATGTTTTACCATTTGTTGTTATTATTTGTGAGATTTACTTGTAATTTCTGAGTGGAAATTGTTTCTACACCATTTTTCCTGTGTAGACATACAGCATAAATGTTTAGCATTGTCAATGTAAAGGACAACAGGACAATACATTTGTGCATGTGTAAAAAAAAAAATTCTTGGACTAACATGAGAGCTGTTGTGTGTCAGGGCTGGTCATGGCTGGTGGTGGGTACCTGTGTTGTTCTTGTTTCATAAAATATCTTTCAAAAAAAAAAAAACGTTTAGATGGTAGTGCATGTTATATGCAAACTAAACTAGTATTTATAATCCACATTCACTGTAATTTTTGTAAAAAAAAAAATTTGGGGGTGAAATTGTAAATAAAACTTTATTGGAGTATGTTTTACATGAAAATGCTACTTAAGTGTTTCTACTTCACAATTAATTACACATTTCATTCAATGTTTTACAATTTCTTGTTATTATTTGTGAGATTTACTTGTAATTTCTGAGTGGAAATTGTTTCTACACCATTTTTCCTGTATAGACATACAGCATAAATGTTTAGCATTGTCAATGTAAAGAACAACAGGACAATACATTTGTGCATGTGTAAAAATTCTTGGACTAACATGAGAGCTGTTGTGTGTCAGGGCTGGTCATGGCTGGTGGTGGGTACCTGTGTTTGTAACAACCACAAAATCTGGGGTTCAGCACAATTTTCTTTGAAGAAATTATTACTTTTATGCAGCAAGGACCTATTAAATTGATTAAATGTTACAAAGACATTACAAATTAAGTCTATTTAAAATAAATGCTGTTCTTTTTAACTTTCTATTAATCAAAATAATAAACAAAAAAAATCATTACAAATGTATTACATTTCCACAAAAGTTCTTTTAAATAATAATATTTCACAATATTATCATTTTATTTGTATTTTTGATCAAATTCTCATGCTCACCAAGTCTTACAAATCTTACTAAAAAACTTTTTTTATTTTCTTTGTAAATTGAATAAATGTTTTAAAAATAAACAAAAAATAAAAGAAATAAATGAATAAATAAATATATATATATACATACACACACACACACACGTGTATGTTTTTAAGAATACCTACCGTGTCATGTTCGTTCTTCATATGATCGATGTACTCCTCTCTCTCAGCGAAGCGTTTCTTGCACTCTTTGCACCTCCACTCCATACTCCCGCTTTCTGGAGAGCTCACCTGATCTTCTTCCTCATTCTCCTCCTCTTCTCCTTCATCTTTCTCTTCCCCTTCATGCTCTCCCTCCTCTTCTTCCCCCTCCTCATCCTCCTCTCCCTGTCCCTGGCTCAACTCATCTGAATTGTTTTCTGTGGGTTTAGGTTTAGAAATGGAGTTGCTGGAAGGAACTGAGACCGGAGATGAGGTGGTGGGCGGAGCCTCGGCTTTGACAGACAGGCCTCTATGAACAGTCTAATGGGAAATAATACAAGACAGCTCTGGTTAAAAGCATGAGCGTGACTGACAGGAAAATGTGACAGTTCACACTGAGGTGGCTGTTGTACTTGGTATGAGCTTTAGACAAGGTGAGACACAGAAATCACTTTGTAAAGGCCAAACCAAGGGTTTTACTGTATGCCTTTGCTGACACCACATTCTTTAGAGGAAGTGAAAAGAATGGGTAACACAAAAGGCAAAATAACAAGTAATCAATTTAAAACGTAAACATTTAATATCCTTAAATGCACTCTATATAATAATAATAATTATTATTATTTATATTATCTAATCTATTGTTATTATTATTAATATTAATAAGGTATTTACCTTGATGTGTTCCATCATTGAGCCTTTCTGGGCATAAAGTTTAGTGCAGTCTGGACATTTGAACACATGCACCTTCTGTTTGGCCAAGTGAGTGTCAAAATGCATGTAGAGCAAAGGTTTCTGGGTGAACACTGTGTCACACATGACACACTTGTAGATCATCCTGTAGCAATAACATAAGAATATTCAGACTCAAAGAATGTATTTTTAAAACAAAATATTAGGCACTAATCACGAAAAGCTGTGTGTGACGGGTCAACCTACTTAGCCTGTGCAGCTGTGAGGGCGGGATGCTGGGAAGTGATGTGCCCCTGCGCGCTCTGGGCAGATTTGAAGGCCATCGGGCAATTGGGACACTTATGAAACACCTCACAGTGAGCTGTTTGAATGTGGGACTTGATGGAGTTCAAACCTCCGAACACAACCTGACAACTGGAGCACCTGGAACAAAGGATGCAGGTTTGAGGGTATAACGTAACAATTTATTTCCTTGCAGGAAATCTCACAAATACCCTAAAAAATACAGCTGCAAAGCAAGGAAATTATCTGCGATATCACAAAACACTGAATCAGGAACCTGTAGCCGATGCGCCTGGCGAAGTGCAGGCAAGACTCTTCCAGATGGGTCTGAAACGTGGCCTGACGAGCAGTGCCTCCACACTCTGGACACACGTGGGGTGCGCGGTGCTTATGGATCCGCTGATGGGCTGAAACACTGCACCAGTTAGGCAGCATCATGGGAGGAGAGCAAAGCATACAAGTCTGAAAGAGAAAGACAGCAGGGATAACATAAAGGAGTTAGTAAATAAAGCAGTTTACACATTAACTTACACATTACAGATGCTGGGCATTATTTATTAAACATTAGCAAAAAATAAATGTGTAAATTGTTCATGAAAACATTATGTAAATGAATTTAATAAAAATAGCATTCAATGCGATACAAATAGCACAATGCAAAACTTTAATTAAGAATATATTTTGTATATATTCCTATATATATATATATTAGTGCTGTCAATTGATTAAAATTTTTTACGAATTAATCGCAAATTTTTTCTGAAATTAATCGCGATTAATCCCACCTAACATTTAAGTTTTTAAATATACTTTTATACTGCAATAATTTCACATTCAATCTTCAAATGAATGTACAAACAACATAAAGACAGTATATTTGTTTAATGGCATCTTTTTTTTATGACTGAAGGCCAGTATCACTTATACCGATACTACTGATGTGTCTATAAAATTGTTTTTCCCCTAATATTTAACCATTGACTATAGCCATTCAACATTACAGTATAATTGAGAGCTATCAATTTTAACATTTATTAGACTTTAAAAAATAACTTCTAATTTAAGTGAACTTAAAACAATCTTCACATAAACCCATTATAATAAATGTCTACCTGTGCCCTTCAGCAGAAATATACAGAAATTGAAATTGAAGTTATTAAACACTAAATTCGAAATTAAATATAGATGAATCCTTAAAGCTATAAAAGTTATTGATTTCCTCTTTTTTCTTTTTCTTTGATTAATAGTCATCACAGCAGCTGGTTATTATGTTGTTTTGGCTGCTATTTCTTTAACACAACTCTTTTGACCTTTTCTGACCCACTTCAGGTCTTAAAGTCTCTATTAATGAGCTGCCGAGTTGAATCTGGTGTGTTAGATGAGGGGTCAGTGCTGGGCTGCTCCAGGACAGCTTTGAAAACCATTTCAGAGACCTGTTCCTACATGTGACTCATCTATAATATATTACATGCATGCACAGTTTTAAGGCAGCTTTAATCGCGCAGATCTGACACGCATCGTATTTTCTCACAACTCTTTTGACCTTTTCTGACCCACTTCAGGTCTTAAAGTCTCTATTAATGAGCTGCCGAGTTGAATCTGGTGTGTTAGATGAGGGGTCAGTGCTGGGCTGCTCCAGGACAGCTTTGAAAACCATTTCAGAGACCTGTTCCTACATGTGACTCATCTATAATATATTACATGCATGCACAGTTTTAAGGCAGCTTTAATCGCCTGTTTGGTAACTTCAAGGACTTAACTGACCACAGCATTGCAAGCACGTAGCTTCATTCGCGCTTTTATATGAAATTATATTCTTTAGCTTGGGTTGAACAAATCATTTTTGCTTGGTTGGAACTGCAGCTATGCTAATTATGTCTCTATTTGGTTCTCTGTTTCTGCCACGGGATTGATATCCCGTGGTAACAGGAATTACACAAGCTTCAGTCTGGATGGAGCCCTTACAAAGACCTGAGATGACTGAACACCTGAGAAGAGATGATGCCAACCCCTCAGATGATGCCAACCCTGAAACAACATACAGAACTACCAAATTTTGCTCTAAGTTTGATTGCAACATATAATTATTGCTGTTAATAGTGTTCATTGTCTGTTTGATTACGTCATCAACTGAATTTTACTGTACATTTCTGCCATATGTACATTGAATTGGCAGTCACCACTGATAAGCTACTATTAATATAGTGTAGAAATCCTGACCCTGCGTTAAATATTTTTAACGTGTTAAACTGGAAAAATTAATCGCCTGCATTAATGAGCTGATATTGACAGCACACACATACATATATATATAAATTTTTACTTAATATATATTCTTATACAACAACAATTTACAAAGTTGCATTAAACGTCTGAGCATGAATCTTTCATTTAGTAATTTAATGGTTAATTACTAGCGGTACTAACGGTTAATTCATATTTGGAGAATATTATTTGGAAAAGACAAATTAATTACAATTTTAAAATAATACAAATCTGTATATATATGTGTGTGTTTGGTTTTTATTACAATTTATTTCTGAGAGATAAAAACACATAGCTGAAAATTCAAGTCGACCCTGCGTTAAATATTTTTAACGTGTTAAACTGGAAAAATTAATCGCCTGCATTAATGAGCTGGTATTGACAGCATACACATACATATATATATAAATTTTTACTTAATATATATTCTTATACAACAACAATTTACAAAGTTGCATTAAACGTCTGAGCATGAATCTTTCATTTAGTAATTTAATGGTTAATTACTAGCAGTACTAACGGTTAATTCATATTTGGAGAATATTATTTGGAAAAGACAAATTAATTACAATTTTAAAATAATACAAATCTGTATATATGTGTGTGTGTTTGGTTTTTATTACAATTTATTTCTGAGAGATAAAAACACATAGCTGAAAATTCAAGTAAAAAATTATTTATGTGGTGCAGTTAGCAAAATTGCTGGCAGGACATTTAAAAAAAAATCTGAAATACTGGCCCAATGGACCAACAGAAAAAAATAATTCGAACACGTTTACAATATTGCAACTTACCGAATTAGGAGTAGCTCTGATTTGCTGGAAATGGGTCACTAATTCAGCCTTGCTTGAAAACTGAGCTTGACATTCAGGACACTTGAAGTTGTGGTATTGCAGGGCTTCGCCCTTCTTGCAGGGCAGTGGCATCAGAGCCTGGGGACTCTGGGGTCCACGGCGGGCAGGGCTGGGCTGGGTTGAAGCCGTGCCTGGAGAAGGAGAGTCCTTCAGTGGACTGGAAGTGGGCAGTATAGGAGTCGTCCCTGTCTGGGTGGTGGAGGATGACAGAGGTGGAGAGGAGAGTGATGGAGAGAGCATGCCTAGAGAAATGAGAACATTTAAGAGATGATTTCATTGCTGACAAGATGGGCTTTTAATGAAACTAGTCTTTCTATGACAAAAAAAAGTTGAAATGGTGCTACATGACAGGAGAAAACAGAAAGGAACAGTGGAGTTCTCTTTTACCAAAAACTTAACACCCACAATGCAATTTTGATTTTGTTAATGCACACCACTATTGATCCGACTGTCTGAGGGCGGGAATACAAAAATGTGGAAGCTCGATCTGTAGTTTTAAGAAAAGTCCCAGGCTTTTGACAGCTCCAGAAACTACAGATTGAATTTCTGCATTCGACAGTGGCGTGATGCCAAAATCAAAATTGCATGATGGGTGTTTTTGGCAACAGAGAATGCCACAGTTCTTCTCTATTTTGTCATGTAGCTCTAATTTTTGTATAAATAAACTGGGATTATCTGGGTGCAGGTAACAGCTGGCTGAAAATCTTTGAATTTATTTTTAAATATTAAGTCGAAACAATCCTATTCAAATTGAGACAAAAAGATACCATGTTGCAAAACTTACCAATGGGAGTAGTGTCTTGCTGGCCGATCATCTGCTCCACTGTAACTGGTCTCATAACCAAATGTGAGCACTGCATGACCAGGCCTCGTTCCTTGTGCTCCCGAGCATGTAACAGCAGGCTGCATTTGTTGAAGAAAGCCAGCCGCTTTGCGCAGTGATTACATGTCACTTCTATTCTCAAAGAGCGCCGGTCGTAGTGTCGCGCCAGGCTGCGCTCCAAAGCAAAAGAATCTCCGCACTCCAAGCAGCGGTATCCAGTAGCAGGCATAGGAAGACCCCATTCAGGGGGTGGCGGGGTTGAGAGATCCGGACGGTAGCTGGGCAGCAGGTTCTTGCTGTTCAGGATCTTGTTGAAAGCCTCAACTAGACTAGACTGGCTACGGGAAATAACAGCACCGGTGCTGTTGACGATAGACGCTGGTTTACACGTCACGGTACCTCCATTGGTGGCTTTACCGACCATAGTGCGCACGCTTATCCCACCGACGGCTGGTGCGACTGGTAAAGTGGTGGATTTTGTGATGCTCACCGCTGTGGCAGAGACTTTCGTTTTATCAGCTTGCATGGCCATTTTGTTTTGGACCTTGCTGGCTGCGGCTATCATGGCACTGCTGGCTTCTAGAGTGGATACTGGTATGGTTGAGCATTTTACCACTTGACCATCATTTTTTTTGGCGCCTTTCGCAGGACCAGCTCGACTGCCTGTTTGGGATTTACTTGCATCTTTGTCTGCATTGGCAGTGCCTCCCTTACCTGCTACTCGAGTAACCGTGCGTGTGATACCTCCTGTAGACGTCTTAATGGTCTTGATACGGACTTTAAGAGGTCTGGAGGGAGCATTTCCGCCAGATACAGCTTTGCCACCACTGCTCGGTGATCCGGCGTCTGCTGGAAGGGATTGTGCAGCATCTACCTCCATTTTCTCTCCATCCCTTTTCCCGTCATCCTTACCATCTGTATTAGCCGCATCTTGTCCATTCTCCGCTGAACCTTTGTCTACCTCCATCTCCTCTTCTTCCTCCTTAGGATCTTGAAGGGAAGCAGATGGTGATGAAGAGGCAACCGCTGGGCTACATGATCTTTTGGTTACTGCAGGTGTTGGCATGGAGGACTTGGGCATCTCTGGCTCAGGGCTCTCTGGCGAATCTCGTTCTTCTATCACATGCTCTGGGTTTCGCTCCTCTTGGGGTAAACTCTTTCCGGTTCCTGTTTGGACTGGTGCTGAAAGCAAGTTCTGTTGAGCTCGAGGTGAAGCAGGTGATGCCAAGGGAATGTCACCTGGTTTGGGGTAAGCGCTGGGCGATATGGATGTTGAAGGAGGGAGAGAAGGAGACTGTGAATTTTCTGGAGGTGACCTTAGCCGACGTGATAGTTTCGGTGGAGTGGGAGAGTCTGGACTCTCATGGATGACCAGAGATCCTCCGGAATCAGGATCCGAATCCTCCTCATCTGAATCTACACGTCTGAAAGCCGACGAACTAAGACGTGGTGATCCGTTAAATGGCTCCGTTAGAGATGTAGCCAGCGGAGACGATGCCATGGCCCCAGAAACACGGGAACCAACCGATGGAGAGGACGATGACGGTGAAGAGGACGAAGCTGTGGAGGGAGTGGAAGGAAGTGGTTTAGGTGGGGGAAAGAAAGGAGATGCTGCTCCACTTGTCCCACTAGAAATCGCAGGGGCTTTCGCCTTGTCCACACCTTCTAGGCTCATCTCCTGCTGCATATGTTGCTGTTGCAGAAGCTGCATTTTTCGGGCCCTTCCGACGGAGTCTCCAGCACCTTGTGCCATCAAGGGCTTCAGCTTATTGAAGATGTTGCTGCCTGGTTTGGAAGTGCCGGAAGATCCAAGCGCTCCTGGAGTCTCTGGAATCACCTTTGAACTGCATATGGGCCACTGTTCCCCATTCGGCTGGCCCCGGGACTGAGACATATGTACTGACCCACCGGATGACACAAATCCATTATGGTTTAATGGGTCTGGTACAGAGCTGTCGCCACCATCAAAGGGCTCAGGGCGGACACGGTTCTTAACAATCACACTCACAATAGATGGGTCGCTCTGAGAATCCGTGGATGGGCTGGGTGATCTTAAGGCTGAACTTCCACCTACTGAAGCATCACCAGCCTTTATGAGCGATCCTCCGCCTGCTCCTTGATGCCCCTCCACCTCATCCGGGGCGGACTGGATAGCCTCTTTGGCATCAATGTCAGGAATGTCAAACGCTGCCAACAGGTCATCAAAATCAGGGGTTTTCATGTCCCCCATGCCGGGTCAGTGGACTCAATCCTAAAAAACAGAAAAATAACATGTAAAAATGTGATAACAACTGCACAAAAAAAAGTATTTACTCGCCTTCATGTTGTTCCAAACCTGACTAAAGAAGATATTTTGAGAAACGTCTGTTTCTGTCAGTGTTTTTTTTCTCCATACAATGGAAGTCAATGGTCACCAATACAGTTTGGTTGTCAATATTCTTCAAAATATCTTGTATTTCACAGAAGACATAAAATTATACAGCTTTGGAACAACATGCCAGTGATTAAATGATGTGAACTATCTAACTACTTTGGGTAAACTGACCCTTTTAAGTCCTGGGTTAACATTAAAAATTCAAATTAAAAATGAAATAGAGACGGGACAAATGGAAGGGCTCATCTTATTTATTAACAGCTTATTTTTTTAAATATTGTAATATGGTGTGCTTCAATGGGATCCTTAATGCAGGGGGTAATAAAAAATAATCGCATAGCAAATCATCCGTTTTCATAAAGTGAGTTTAATACATATAATTTTTATTTACAACTCAAGTACTCAAGCTATCAGGTTTTTTTAACCGTAACAGAAACGCTTTGTGCTGAGGAACCTATGAAGTGAAATTTACTTGATGATTTTAGCCGCATGTATCCTGCTATTTCAGCTCGTTTCTTTACTTCTGCAACAACATAGCATATACACAAATATATAGCGCAATACCAAATGACACCGAACGGCTTTTGTTAGCTTTGGCTAACAGCCACATAATGCCTCTGTATAAACTTAGCATTGGCGACTGAACTGCAATGCACATGTACGTGTGCAATATGAAAAATAAATTAATTTAATCACATATAAGATAATATTATGATCCAGCATCCAATTTTTTGCTTAACAATGGATCTCTTAAGGTGACAGAGCCCGTTTAGCACGCTAAAGCTGCTATGGTATCAACACGTGAATACAAACAAGCCCTCTTACATGAAATAAAAACAATAATTGATCAATAAAAATATATATTAATACACTAACAACTGAGCACGTTACAGAGATTAATTTAATATATTTATGACAAATACAATTGTCTGAGAACGGCTAAAACCTGCAGCTGACCTGGCTAACTACAAATGGGGACCGAGACGGAATCGCTAACCGTACGATTAAAGGGCTTCTGTCACATGTTGTCCTCTAGATGTGGCCTCAGCGTTGCTGGACTGATAAGTAAACAGCTGGTGGGTTGATAAGCAGATATGTGAGGTGTATTTTTGGGCTTGTTCTGTCATGACGGCGGGGTCCGTGCTGCCCCGTCGCGAGGGTCATCTAAGCGCAGGCCACTGCATGTGCACGGCAACATTTACCTGCTTATAAATAACCTCACGTGGATGCCACATTATGCCTTTTTGATCATGCATTTCATGTAGGTGTGTATTATTTTACAGAGTGTGTATTTCCATGCACGGGAAGGTAATTTGTTTACCTGTTTTCTTTTGAGATTCCCGACTCTCCTCGCTCCAGATGAAGCGCCTTGACTTCCCGTCATCGATCGAGTACGGCCAGGTCTTGGCAGATAACGATGATAATAATGGACAGGAAAATTATTTTCCGTCTTCCTTGGTTAAACTGTTATGTCTGCATACATAGATCTGGTGATATTTCAGCATTGTATTTTAAACTCAAGAAAAAAACACGAACACTCTCATTGTATTTTATGGATGTACAGTTGTTTATTTACATCCTTCCAGGATCTCATGTTTCTCTGTCTTTAGCTTGATTTGGTTTAGGCCTTGATTAAACGGATTGCGGATTTTGGATCTCCCAAATGCACAGAAGCTTAATGTTTATTATATTATCGTATGCTATATGTATTATAGAGGATTATACCTAACATTTGAATAGAAATGTTACCGCCATTTCATACATTAACCACAAAACACAGACAACTCAGATAAATAAATAAATCAATAAATTGGGTACCAATATGAAAGTGAAATACATGATCGCAAATACTGTACATCACAGTGAGATTGTTAATCATTATTGTGAATCTTTGGGCTTCTGCGTAGATAGACTGACTATATAAATGCATTTGGTACATCACAAATCGTCGTATATAGCCAGTTCCTTGTTGTTGTCTTGAAAAAAAGAAATATGTATATTATATATAGCCATATATAATAAGACAATGATTATTATTGACAATCTCAGGACCAACTGCACTGAAATGTGCAGGAACATACACAGCAAAATCTATTTAAATACACCTGAAAATACTGTTTTCATAGACTAGGTTTTAGCGCCATCTAGAGCACTGCCAGCATTATTTCATTCGTGTTCATTTATTCTATTTTTGTTTTTGTCGTTATTAAAACCGTACAAATAAATGGAAAACATAATACAATATTTAAAAAAAATATTGAGTAAGTTTACTGAAAAAAATAATGAGTTAAGTCTTTCACAGAACCTTGTGATGAGTCGCGCAGAAAACTTATTTAACTTAGTCCTGCAGATGTTAAAACCAATTACATATATAATGAACATAAATGTATGAATCAAAAACATTCATAACAAAATGCATAAATAGAAAGAAAAGGAATAAAGAAAGGAAATCAAAAGATGAGATCAAAAGAAGGGTTATACATACATTAAAAAGTGATAAGTGGAAGTTAGGCCTTCTAAATGCCAAACACTTAAGTGACCATAGTAAAGTAATTTCCATGTTTTACAATGATATTTTTAGTAGTGTTTCTCTTAATGTTGGTTCATCACCCAGAATCCAAATTAAACGAGGAATTCGTCAGGGATGCCCACTTTATTTACGAAAAGTAACCGCTGACACAGTTCGACGTCTTAGTGACGTCCTCACATCTTGTCCAATCAGAAAGGACTTGTAAGCTTTCGAACACTTATGGGCGGGCTTCGAACTCGCTGAGAGGGAAGTTGAAGCGCCAGGGAAACGTACTCGGTGGTTGATTTGGCAAATTGCGTTTGGGAAAAATACTTTTCATTTAAACGAAAGTATTGTTTGATTAAGTAAACGCCACAGTTATTACATTTACAAGAAAGAAGAAACAGTAAGTGTCATGAATATACTAATCCAGAATAAACGTTGAATTTCCTCAATCGTTCTTTAGCTAGAGTAGCTAACGTTAGCCACCATTGGAGGGAACGATGTAAAACCTGTATTAATAAAATCCCTCTAACAGTTACATTTATTTGAGAAGTAAAATTGATATCTACAATTGTCCTTTATTTACGTTAAGACAAGTATTAGTTTACTTTACACAAGCGATGTAAATGAAGTTTGACATGTCAGTTAACTGTTATTTCATGTGTTTTTCATCCAGAAACAACACGCTATGTCTCACAAGCAGATTTTTTACTCTGACAAATACGACGACGACAAATTCGAGTACAGGTAGGCACTTTTTAAAGTTATCTGTACAGTTTACAATTAATGTTGTCCGTTTTGGATTCCTAGAGACAGCAGTGCTAATGTTCCGCTGTTTAAACATTTGTTGAATCACCAAATAAAGTTAATATTTAGTTTTCATAAGTTCAAACTAAGTTGAAACATGATACTATGTTTTCTGAGCTGTTAAAATGACATTTATAACGAGGGTAAAGTGTAGTGTGTGTTTTCCGTTCATTTTCAGGCATGTCATGCTTCCTAAGGATATTGCTAAAAGAGTTCCCAAGACCCATCTGATGTCAGAGACAGAATGGAGGAATCTGGGTGTTCAGCAGAGTCAAGGATGGGTACATTACATGATCCATCAACCCGGTATGTGTGTGTTTGCTAGGATGTCAAAAACTCGCCCAAACATGTGCCATCTCTACTGTTGTCACTGTTGAAATTCATGTTCATGACTTCTTTTCATTATAGAACCACATATCTTGCTCTTCCGACGTCCTCTGCCCCAATCCCAGTGACCCCAGAACCACAAACTAAAGGAATTCTGAAAACTGGACACAATCTGAAGATGTCTGAGAGATGCCGGGTGCACCCCAGATCAGATGGTGCCAATATCATTTGTGCTGCTGCATATGTATTGACTATTCTGTGGGTTAGATTATCATCACTGTGCTTGATCTCTGCCTTAACTGAGAGATAGAACTGTGTGCAAATTCCCGCTGCAACTATATTTATTATTCTTTTCAAGCATATTCTGTATATGAGCTTCACTTGATAAATTTTTTTGCATTGGTGAATAGATTCTGAAAGGTCTAGCAGCATTGGAAATTGTTTCAAAAGTACACATACTGCTTTATTAAAAATAAATACTTTATTTTTTTCACTTTAAAGTATTAACAATGCTGTCTGTACCAGTATAGGTGTCACCAGTACTAATACGCAGCTGAACCTATTTTCTCAAAAATGTTTTTAAAAGTCAATATAATATGTAGAATACTGTACTTATGTATAATAAAACTATTTCAGCTCAGCATATTGGCTTCAACAGCAAAATCCTTATCAGATAGAAAGCAACAATGTTGAAGTTGAGTACACTGTAATAAGTGCTTTAACTTTTACTAGACATGCACAATGACAGCCATTGTAACTTCCCACTGTAACATTCCCTTCCAGTTATTTTTAGTTGCACAAATCACTCGTTATGCTGCTTGATATTGCAAACTGGTAATTCTTAATACGTAATTCTACTATATTGTCGTAATTACAAACACACTGGTTTGTAGTGCAAATAGTTTATTTTCCGTATTGTTATTCCTCTAGTTGTTTACCCATAGCATAGCGGCTAATGAATCTGACGTCTCGCACATGCATAGAAAATGTCTGACTTTTGGATTGCAACATAAGGTCAATATACGTAGAGGTTCTACTTCCAAGCCCCATTGACAGTGAAATCTCGTTGGTCTAAAGTCCCTATTTAGTCCAGGTGATATGTGAAAATAATGTTCACTTTTTCATGAAACTTTGTACACTTGTATAGTTTGCGGCCCTAAACATTTTCAGAAATTGTTTCAGAAACCTCATGGTTGCCATGGCGACCATTTTACTTTGTGTCATATTTGTGTCATATCTCCTAAACCAAACATGATAACACAGAAAAGGTGATGTCTACCCCTATGTTTTGATGGTCAAGGATTACAATGATACCATATACAAAACATAAACTGTTCAGGTGAAGACTTAATGGTGAAATCAGCAATGTGAGAAGAAAATCAGTATCTGAGCATCATAGTATCACAGGAGCATTTACAAAAGTCCATATTATGGCTATTAATTTTTTCTTTCTTTGATAATTAACTAATATTTTATTCAATAATACATTAAAAGATTGTTTTCAAGAATACTATAATATATTTCAGAGATATAAAAAAATCATCTCAGGGAAGTGTATTTTTCCTGACCTCAGGCAGAGTCAGGTAGGCGGTAGTGTGTTTCCAATACATTCTTGTTCTCTCTCAACAACGCTCTAACATTACAAGCAGACGGCAACAGAATGAAATTTCAAACATATTTAATGTAAACTTAATTTACAATCACTCTGGGGTTCAGGAAAGGTGAACGAAAAGGCCTCTCTGTGATGTTACCACAAGGCATTGCTTGCTTACAGATCCCAGGCTTCTGGAGAGAATGTAGATTTGTAAGAGTGAGGAGGAAGTAGGAGGGTGCTGAGCTTGTGGCTGTTCTGTATGCAAACATCAATGTCTTGAACTTGATGCGAGCCGCAAATATTCTCAAATAGCTGCAGTGGCATACTCAGCAATAGAATCAAGTAGAGTGTTTTGCTCATAGGGATTATTTCAGACTTTAGTCAGTTTTATTGATAATTATATTGTATTTTACAAGGACTGAATATTGTCATCTGATCAATTCGAGTAATAAATTTTTTTTCCAGGCCTTCGTAATGGCCTTTAAGTTTGAGGATATCAATGAATGGAAGGAAGAAGCCAAAGAAATGGACTTTCACTTTAAAAGTGTTGAAGAGCACAAGATTGGTGAAAAGAGGGATTATGGGCCTATGGTATATGAGGAGGACAACCAATCAATGCCTGAAAGGTGAGGATGACACAATCAGGACTAGGGATGCAAGATATTGGATTTTTGCCGATATCCTATGCCGATATTTTTCAACTCATTTTGGCCGATAGCTGATGCCGATATATTTCCTTTTGTTTGGAAACAACACCAAGTCTTTCCTGTGTGGAAATTATAAGCAAATAATTTTTAATTTTGGTTAGTTTTTAACAAGAACTTATTTGTTAGAA